TATATATATATATATATATATATATATATATATATATATATATAATTAAAACGGAACAGTAGAGAAAATCCGATCAGAATGACAAAATAAACAACTAAGTATCCACTGGAAGGAATCCCAATATCTGCAGACGGATCCGATTCGGCCTTCCAGGACTCATCAGTGCAGCTGGGGTATAGACCCAAAAGAAACGTTTGACCAGCTTAGGAAGGGCCCAAACCAGTCCCACTACCACTAATGATTACAGAGCCAAACCAAGGCAATATATGTTTTTATATATATATATATATATATATAATGTCTTTAAAAATATATATATATATAATGTCTTTAAAAATAATAAAATGTATCAAGGCTATTTTGATATAAACAACTACCACCCACACTTTAAGTGCCCCCCCTGGCAACTAGGAAGTACCTTAATTTTATTGTTCCATTTGCCAGCAGGCATTTGAACCTAAATGTCACTGTATAGTAATGACGGAAAGGTGTATGTTATTTTAAGCTGAACAAATTGAATTGATTACTTTCTATTTTGAAGCAATTTATGATCTTTCAGGTGAATCAGAAAGAAAATATATTTAAGTTTACTGATTTGATATCACTTGTATATACATTTCGAAGACCTTTGTAGAAACAAAAAATAAACAACAAGTTTGTGTAACTGCAAACATATTTTTTTGTTTTGATGTCTGATTGCCTTGGGGGCGGTTTCATATCCCAACCTTGAGGTCGAGGTTTCAATCCCTCGCTGTGCATTTCGCTTGTATCCTTGAGCAAGACACTTTATCTGCATTGCTTCTCTTCACTCAGGAGTATAAGTGGGTACCTGGTGGGGTTAAATGCCAAAGTGTAGCTGCTGCAACATTATGGAATATTCCCTCGAAGAGCTGAGTTTGTGTTCCATAGGCATTTAATCGAATGACCGGGGTAATGATAATGTGAAGTGCATAGAGGTCTCATCATAATGCGCTATATAAGTCTACCATTGTTATCATCATCATAAAATTATAATTTATTTAGCTCTGTTAACACACTCGCTGCCATAGAAGAAAACTTGTCTTGTGTTGTAGATAGGCCTTGAATGAAAATTAGTACACTCGCACAATATTTTTTGTAAATATTGTTAATATGGTATAATGATTCTGGTGTGACTGCCACTGGTGGGGCGTTACACAACTGCACGAACTTGAGCAGTAGCAGAGTTATTTGTTTTGATTTTTAGATGCTCAACTAGAAAATGTCAACTTGGTGGTGCTTTTAAAACTGTTTTTTTTTTTTTTTTTTTTTCAAATTTTGATGACCTTTGACATACTGCATACATGTTCATGTTCAATGAGCTATTCATTGTTTTAGTTTAGGTTTTCTTTTAAATTTTACACAAAATGTTAAAATTTGTTTTGTCTAACAAAAGGTCTTTTTCACAATAAATAACTTAAAATCTGGAATTCAAATTGATGAAAAGATATTCAAAGAATATCCTACAGCTAAATCTTATTTTTTTGCATCTACATTACAATAAACATAACATAATGTGCTAATCATGTGAGATAAGAACTAATCTTTCACAATTTAAATAATATTGTAGCTGATTAAGCAGAGAAAATTAAGCATTTTATCGTTTTCAGCTATAGGTAATTAGACAATAGGATAGTCGTCTTGAAAAGCAAGAACAGTTTTCATGGAATTATATTATTATCCTGTGACATACAAACAACAGTTTTTTTGGTGTTACTTTGCTATTTGCAAATGTCACAGTGTAGAAGTACTACCAACTCATTTGTTATTATAAAAGTACTCATTAGTTGTTTCTTGGAAAAATTTATTTGTTTTTTCAACACAATACTTAAAACTAAAATACGAAACTTTGAAGCAAATCAATATATTTTATCACAAAAGATATCAGATTTTTCGTAGGATTTTATATATTATTATAAAACACAAGTATAAATATAGAGTTATTACCATAATCTTTGTGTTTACCATCATATCGTTATAGTTATTTCCAGAATAATTATTTCCAAATTCTTTGATCACAGTGGTGCAGTTTATTTGTTATTCATAAAGACAAAGACAATGCAGACAAAGTGTTTGCGCTAGTTATTAAATGGAATTACATTTATATTTGCCAATGTTCTTGATTTAGATTTTAATATTAGCCTTCATGAGATAATTGTAAGGAAATATACCATTCATATTGAGCAAGAACCAATGTAACTAGTGATTCTCAGAATTGAAACATACTTATTTTATATTCTTCTTTTGACTCATTATTTTTTTCTGTAATTTCCAATTTAAATTTTCAGTTTTTAATTTTGTCTACAGTGAAAACCTCTGCCTTCATATTGAAAATGCTTGCACTAGTGGTGGGGGATTGGCCTCACTCACCCATGCCCAAAAATGTTAGACCCCCTGTCAGACCCCAACCTTTAAATGTAAAATCTAGAGGCACCAATGCATAACATCCAAAATAAACTTTAAATATATAAATAATAGTGATTTTATTGCCTGAATGACATTTACAAATTTTATTCTTTAAACAATTATACAGTTGTATTATGTAATAATACAGTTGTATTATGTATTAGTTTGACTTGCTCAAATACTCTCATATGCTATGCAATATTCATTTTCAGTGGTCCTGTATGTAAATAAATTAAATGTAGTTTTTTTTTTTTTCAAATTAACTTTGTCTTAGAATTGCTGTTAACACTTGAGCAGCCTATTCT